ATCGAGTCGGATCTATAATCTCATAATCAAATTGCATCATTTACAGCCCGCTGTTGATCCTTCTTGCAAGAGACACCCGTTCCTGAAAAGTGTGGTATGACACACTTTCAGTAGTTCCCACTTTCTCAACCTTTAACAGATAGTTTATCTCAGTCTGGTCAGTGGTAATTCTCAAGGCAAAATCTCTCATGCGATCCAAAAAAGGCTGCAAAAACTCAAGCTCATCCAGGGTAGAAAAATTTCTGTCAGAGATCCAAAGAGTCCCTTCTACCTTGACTACTCTACCTTCCAACACAACTCCTAATGTCAGTTGTTCAATCAAACTGGGCATTGCTAACCATCATAAGCAACATCTGAAAGGTAGATCTCAGGTTGGACATAATCAAGGATCTCGAATCTGTGTTCAAAGGTATTTAGAAGTAGGGATTTTATCATCACGGCGGTGTCTTTTTCTCTTGCTCTACCAATCTCGGCAATGGCTTCCAACAGAGGCATCCAATCTCTTCTGTCTTCAAATCCTTTAATAAGTGAGAATTCTGGAAGTCTTTCAAATTTCCTTACTCCCACTCCCCTTGTTACTTTCCTTTTCAATCTCTCCAACTATTCTTTTGCCCGCTCAAGACTGACGTAAGCTCCCTTTAAATATTCCAAGTAACCAACTTCCTCCTCCAGGCTGTTGGAGGAATAAACCCTCACATCCAGACCGTCAGAGTTCAGGAACTTAACTCCCGGGATGTGTAATACTATATATCCTTCCCCGCAAATCTCATGTCTCAAGATTACAAAGGGATTATCTTGCCCTATCGCTTCATAAAGTCTGCCCCTCACTGTAGTTATCCTAGCTACTGAGAGTATTTTTCTTGGGCTCTCTTCACTTTCCATGCAAACTTTATCATAGCATACCAGTTTATCTCTTGAGAACGTGAGTCCCTCAACAGGTGGAGATGGTATTCCAACAAAAGTTCTGACATAGGTACTAAAGGAGAAGTTGGTACTAAAGGAGAAGTTTCTTCCTTTCCGCTTTAATCTTCCTTTCTCATTATGCGCAAGATCTGAGGCTCGTTGCCAACACGCCCCTTTTCGGTTTTCATCAAATCTCTGCTCTGGCACATAAATCCCAATATCATATTCATCAAGATTAATAAAATAACATGTAAAAACATACAGATTGTCTTGTTCTTGTCCTGATCTCTTTATGGCTTCATACCTCACGATTTCATAAGGAATTACGGCCTTACATGTTAAAGAATTAAGAGAGTCCAACAGCTTGTCTGACTTAGCCTTACTCAACCTTTCATGACCTCTTATCAGTCTAAGCTTAGACCTCTCTTTCAAGGGTACATAACGTCGACTCATCAGGCTCTTTGACCTCTTATCACTTTCTAAGCAAACTCAATCACCGCAAACCAATCATCTTTCGATAAATTTGTATCAGGTAAGGGAGGAGTTGGAAATCCTTTGAAGGCAGTAAATCGAGTAGATCCAGTAAAGCATTTGTTCTCTCTCTCAAGCCTCTCTTTCTCTCTCAGTACTACCTCTTCAGCAAATCCCCAACATCTCCCATATACTGCGTCTGCACTTCTTTCTTTTGGGACATAAAAATATTATTTTTTTCTTTTCTTTTCTTTAAAAGAAATCGCCCTAGTCTAGAACCCAATAGTCACCTGCAGGACTTCACTCAGCTCACTGCCAACCACCAGTCCTGTCGGATCGATTGTATATAAAAAAAAAATCCGACGATCCCATAACGGGATACTAGCCTGCGCACCT